GCTTTGTTGCTTCTATATTGCAATGTACCTATTTTGGTTATATTTTTACCCAATATTATTTTCATAACTTAACGAGAAATGATCACAGATAGAAAATCTTTCTAAATTTGAGCTCAGAATAATAATTTTTTTTCGAATGGCCGTAAAAAATGGATAGTGAAAAATTTGAAGAAAATTTGTCTGGAGAAGAAAAACACCAGAGGAAAAATATTCGGTCACTTTCTTCGAAAGACGGAAAATAGTGAAGCAATACGTTTCAGTAGTACTCGCAGTTGTCGCCTAAAATCTAAACAATGCATTCAAATCACTAATTACAGGTTGCAGGTTACACAGTCAAAAGCAGTAAGCTGCAATTAAAACAAGTTTTCTAGTCTGATTAATTTTCTACTGAATATATAGGAGAAACTAATTATTAAAATACAGGAAGGAGCTTCCCTTTCAAAAAAAATGACTATCTCAAGTCAAATCAAGCAGTGCTATCTAAAATTTTTGTGTCAAAATTTAACTTCTTTAAAAAATCAGCAACAAAAAACCAAAAAACTAGATTCTTTTTTAGAACTAAATCTTTATTTGTTGCAATTCATTTTATCGTGAGTGCAGCGACTACCATGTGTGTCAATTAACAATCGTTAATCGCTTTAGCTGCATATGCTTTCCAGACGAAAAAAAGTTAGCATAAAATTTCAACTAATTTTGAAAACCACTTGGTATGCTAGGTGCGTTAAAATTCTATTTTCACTTGATTAAATTTTTTTCGCGTCGTTTAAAATGTGCAAATTTAAGCAAACAAAACGTGAAATAAGGAATCTTCAAACTACATTCTTGTTCGTTTTTATTTATCAAGCAGTGAGCACGGAATACAGAAGAGAGCTCGAACAATCAAGCTATGAGTTGAGTCGGGAAGGAATTGTTCGCTTGCAACAGTTCCGGCAATTTTCCAGTCCCCCTCCTCGTGAAATTAATATAGAAGTTTTTTCAATAAACTTAAACATCGCAATTTTCATTTAGGAATGTGCGCTTTTGTTCAATTTTGGTTGGTGCTTTTTTATTGTAACTTATTGCAGTAACATTCATTTTAAATAAAACTTTTACGAAATCAGAGCTCCTCCATCATTGATATCAATTGGTGGTGTATCAACTAGCAAAAAACTGAACCAGCATAAAAACTTTAAAAAAACCGTATCTACTAACATACGAATCAAAGCACAAAATTCAAATATTGTCAAAATCTAAATTATAAACCAAAAACATTTAAAACATATTTTTCAAACATTTCACAGTTTGCGCGGCAATCAGTTCAGTTCAAGCTATTTACATGGTATTTTGAGAATAAAGCTATCAACATTATGCTAGTCCATACATATTCATGTTTATGCTAATCGAGCTTTATGCTTGTCGATTGGTCACCATAATATTAGATATCGGGATTCAATCTCCTGACCGATTTAAGGGGAGGGGCGGATCGCAACAATCTCTGACCATCTTAAGGGTCCCCTATTTGGTCCAATTTTACGGCAGCTGTTTTTTGTCGACCAGCCCGAAATGTTTCTAATGGTCCCCTCAACACCCGAATATACACAAAATTTGAGGGGGGAGCCCGCGCCAAAAACGCAATTGTTTGGTTAAAATTTTGCAGAAAAAACCTAAAAATTTTATTGCAAGTAAAAAAAAGGTCGACGCGTCTCATAATTTTTCGAAAATCCGCCCTAAACACCCCCGAGAAAAATCTAGATCCGCGCCTGCCCATATTTGAGTTTCATTGTTACAGGCTTAATCTCAGTATTATAATCGAGTTATGAATATTGGCGCGGTGAACACTTAGCTTTTCTGTGTACGTTTTCACTTTAACCGCAAAATCACGCATTTAGCCATAACAGCAGAAAAATGAATTATGAAATGCGAGTAGTAAAAAGCCAGAAAAACGCGTTTGATTGGAAAAAAGACAAAAACTCACTGAAATCGAGGTTTTTCACGCTCCCTTCGTAGACTTGTTCTCCGTTCACGTGGACTGAAAGTTCGTTCAAATTTTCGCTCTTGTGGTAGAATATTTCGTGTTCACTCCCTTCCAGAATAGTTCGCAGGCCATTCAGTCTCGCTGGCTCGTAAATAAGCTGGCCCAGACAGTTCATGTATGGTCCATAACTCACATGTACTTTTGCTTTTTCAGGCATTTTCTAATTTTTATAACAGCAATTTTTACTCAAACGCAGTTCTCGTTTTGCTTATTTGTTAAAACGGCTTAGAATTGATGATAAGAAAAAGATCTCGTTGCATGTATGGTGATGGTAACAAATAAAATGGTGATAGCAGATGCATTTACAATATAAATTATACTACAAAAAAATCTTTTGTTTTTATTACGCGTTCGATTAGCAAGCGTTATCAAATCAGAATATAGACTTTTTCGTGTTAACAACTAGTGTAACAAAAAATCATTTTAATCACTTGTCGCTACGCTACTGACTATGCTGATATGTTTCTGATATGCTCAATTTCATGAAAATTCAAATTTATTTACTGGGTGCAATGTATGTTATGCATGATGCTGGGAATTTATTCAGAATTACATGGCTTTTTTGTCGGTTTCATGAATTTCGTCCCAACTTTTGTCGGCTTACTTTTAACTTTTTTAATACTTTTTCGTTTCAATTGTTACAGTTGTTTCAACTTGCTTTCAAAAAAAGTCAAATTTAGTCTACCGTTCAGTGCATCTGGTGTAGAAGTAACGTAAAAATTAGTCCCGACAAAGGTCAGGGGTTTTATTTCCGGTCCAGGAGCTCTTTTTGTTTAACTAGAATTCTTCAGTTTTTTTTTCGACCATCGTCCGTCTGTTCATTTTTGCCGGTTTTGATCTCGTATCACAAACTCTTTTTTTCTAGATGCAGTTTTCTTTTTTCGAATACCACTAGTAGAAGTACATGAGTCACAAAATTTTTTGCGCAAATTTTGTTGCATGTTTTTGAAAAAACTTCTAAAATATTTGCTTTGTCGTTCAATGTGCACGGAATGTTAGCAGTTTTAATTCTATTATCAATAAAAGTCAGCCATTTTTTTTCGGTTTTTGAATGCTCAATACCAACTCCACAAGGAATTTTCTAGAAAATTTATCTTGAAAAAACTTTTTTTCTTTTTTTTTTTCAATAAATTTTTCGTTTTTCTAGGTCCTGTTACAATTACATCATTAGAAGTTATCATGCTTCTTGACATGCTGTTTTAATTATGTTGTACCGCAAGTAGTGCGAAGGTCAGCTTCGCCTCTGTCTTAATAATTATTTTGAACAACAAAGTAAAACTATTAATTTTAAAAATCACGGTGTGCCGTTGTAATTAATAGTAACCTGTATTAAAAACGTACGGGCTAACTTCTCCAGCAAATGAAAGAAAAATAAGCATGATTGCAAACAACTATTGCCTGCTTTGTCTAAAAAAAGTAAGATTAAATAAATAGTAATGTGATAAACGGCAAAAAATGGTTTAAAAGCCCGAATTTTATAAAGCATGAAACAGTAATTTAGTCAGCTCAAGGAAACAGATGATTCTCAAAGCGTCTTATGGTGCCAAAGTATTTGCGTTTGCTGAACTTGAGAATATCGATATGCTGGAAATGATTTATGAAGGATTATTGGATTGAAATCCAAAGACAAATGTTTAAACATAAGATTTATTTTTGCTAGCGAGCAGAAACCTGGAATTGAGTAAAATGTGGAATTTTCAGATAAACAGTTAGCCATGCAAGTGAATCCATTAAACTTAGCTGAATTCTAGATTTTGTCATTAGATTGCACAGTCAATTTGCTGTTTTTCCTTCTCGGTGTCAGATTTTTGTCAATGGATTTCAGAAATTTTCAATGGTTTTCGGAAACTGTCACTGTTTTCCATTGTCATTGGTTTTTACGGAATGTTTAAACACTTTGAACATAATTTTCTTCGAAGTTAGAACATCTTAGTGTTTTATGCCAATTTAAAAGTTTTGTTCAAGATTACAGAGAGCAAAAAAAACGCACTTGCCAGAAACGTTTTAAGCGGATGACGATAATCAAGAGAGACGAAATCCTTCGCGCTGTTAGTATTTTATAGTATAATTTTGGTAACAGACCCTTAATTGTTTGAAAGACACATTTGGCGCCAAAACACACATTTGTTTAGGGGAGGCGCGCTAATTAAACGCAAATTTTGGTCAATATGTCAGTTTTGTAGGAAAAAGTCACAAATAAAAAAAAGAGCCTACAACTGAGCCAAGTAATTGAAACGGCTTTTTTCCCATCCCCTCGTAACATCTCAAAATAAAACTGTTTAAAAATTGTTCACACGGCATTTTGCATGTGAAATGTTGTGAAATTTTGTTCAGCTGTTCACACTGACAAGTTTCTATGCAGTTTTTAACGTGAAAAGTTATTTTAAATAAGTTTTCATTAAACAAATTTCCAAAAAAATCAAAGGGGGAAACTGGAAAAGAGCCATTGAAACAATCAGAAGCCAAAAACAATGATGATGTTTTTGTTCCTAACAGTTTTTACCCAGTTTTTCCAAACTGGAAAAAATTTCAAGAGATTGTTCGACTGCGGATCAATTTTAGACAAGTTTTTAAAAGCCATCTGGGTGTCTTTGATTCCTTAAACTCAAACTGAAGCACTATTTTACCTGCGATCATTTTGCAATTACCGTGTTTTTTAAATCGTCAGGCTGGATGTTTGGTATGCAATTACGCCTCAACTAAGGTAATTTAGAAAATCAAAAATCAGAAAACGTTTTTTTTTTGTAATTTCTTTTTCTTTTTTTTTCAAAATCTAAATTATATTAAAAGATATTTTGGGCCTGCTTACGTGAAAATTAGTAGCTCAAATGAGACTTAAAATTTGAAACCTGAAATAAACAAAAATTTTCAAGATTTAACTTTTTTTATGCAACCTAAGATGTGTTAGTTTTTAGTTGTACTAAAATCATTCTACCAAAAAAAAAATGCTTTTTTGGTCTCCAGCAAAAATTCAACTGTTGAGAAAAAATCTCATTAACTATAATAATGAGATGAGTGTAATTTCATTTCAATAACTGAACAAAAAACTATACATATCCATCTATGTACATAACCGATAGCTACCATAAACAAAAGTTACAACAATTATAATTTTGTTGAATTGGTTGTTCTAAATTAAAATTAATTTTTCAAAATTTTTGGCATTTCGGTTGATACTACAGCAGATATCTGATGTTCACATGATGAAGCTCTTTTATTTTGAGCTTCGTTGTGAAAAGTTCAAAGTTTTTAGGTTTATTATATTTAAGCCCGCTTTAGTTCAAATCTCAAATACAAATTTGAGTTGAGTGAGATAACTAATTTAATTTGCTCGAAGCTGTATCAATTAGAAATTGCTCGAATGTTTTTTGGCCCAATTATGTTTACCTCAGATTTTTCAGAAATATTTTCAATTATACAAAAAACATCGCCACTGTTTAGCAAACTTGTAAGCATAGAAAACCGGCTGTACTGAAACAGCGGTAACAACAAGATGCCCTTTTACTACATTATTTGCCGGTCGGATGCCAAAAATAACACTGAGAAATGAATATATGAAGTGTTTGCTGCGTTGAAACAAAACAGCGACACCAAGATATCATCTTTCTATAGAATCTGTGGTTTGGGTGAGGCCAAAAGCTGCTTCCGCTAAATGGTTCGATAAACTCAATGGTCAGAAGGGCTCGCTTTTGACCCTGATTATCGTTGATATGATACAAACGTTACATTGGTTTACTTTTGTATTAATTTATAGGTTCTTCACCTAAAATCTATGAAAATTTGTTATTTGTACAAAAAACTTTTGATTTGATCGGACTTCACCAAACTTGTTTAATCGGATTTCAACCGGAAGTCCAATCATGACGGAGAACAATTTTGAGACTTTATATTAAAATTGAAATCAATAAATACTTCCATAATTGCCTTCAACATTTTTTATGGTTAAAAATTAAAGCTAAGTATTGGGTAATCTGTCATTAAATAGATTGGTATATAGAGTGAAATGGCATGCGTTAAAACGTTCTTCTATCGAAATTGATTCTGTTTAATATTTCATTCACAAAATCAACACTCAAAAAATTCATCTAGAAAGTATTCACCGTGTTCAATAAATGGGCAATTGGCTTAATCCAAACTTTAAGTAATAACAATGATCATAATAAATTGTTTCCAGTAAAGGTTCACATTGATCAATACAAATTATATAAATGACCACTTGAAAGAACCCAGTCTGGGAGATCGTCATTAGACAAATTCTGCCTGTTTTCAGACGTCTCTGAGCGCAAAAAAGAACAGATTTTAATTGGTATTGAGATTTGTTACAGTACTATAGAGTGAAAACTTTTTAGAACTACAGAAATGAAAAATTATTTATTTAGAAAATTGAAAAATTAACTGTGAAAATTTTGGTGAGATGTAAACATTGGAGAAAACCGATACTGTGAGAAAAATTGGAACTTTAAATTTATTAACTCTTTATGTCATATTTTTGAAGTTTCTAAAAACTTATGGAGAAACTTGTTAACTTTTTCCGTGTCATTCTGCAAATCCTTTCAAAAAAGTTGGAAAAAGATTTGTGAGGCACTTGAAAAGTTTTCGAGTTCTGGTAACAATTGAAAATTTATGGTGATTTTTTTGGGTTGATCCTTAATTTTTTTCCTCGTATATAGTTATGATGCAATTTGAAGATTCCTTTAGCCGTACTTATTTTGCTGAGGGTCACTGATTCACTTTCATTGCGAATAATTTTACAGAGAAGTTTCAAGAGTTGGTATAAATGAAGCTCTTTAACATTATTTATATTCATTTTTACCGCAATAAATATACTGATTCGAACATTTTCTTCAAATTTAGGACTCTATTTAATCTGTTGATGTGTTTGAAAGAACTTGAACGTGTTCTTACCTTAAGCAACCCCATCAAAGCCATTTTTAAATTTTAATAACGACTTATTATTGCCTCAGTGTAGACTCTATGAAATTTAAGAAAACTAGAAAACACCGAAATGATTTAAAAAGGCTGCTCGTATATCAAGGCAAAGCCCTGAAGGTTCCGACTGTCTTTTAATTCATTCTGATCTAAAAATCTAAAAATTTTGGACAAAATCAAAGTGTGAAATTTTGAGTCGTACGAAAGTAATATGACCGAAAGTAATATGGCTAGCTATGTGCAAACTCTGCTAGTAATGAAAAACGTGGACCTAAACGAAACAGAAATGTTGAAAAAAAGAACCAAATAGAAAACTGACTGATTTAAACAAAAAGAAAAATTAGCTTGCCTCAACTTAATTTGGAATGAGTTTGTTGTGCGGAATAGTTCTCCATGCATAAATAATTTGAGTTACTTTCTCAGCATTATGAATAAACTCAGCAAAGCGCGCATAATTTAGCCCAGAAAATGACCAGTTTGGCAATTTTTAAACCCTCAGGTCTTTACAAAAAATGATTGAAGGTAAAATATCTTTTTAAATTTGCACTCAGAATGTCAAAATCTTATACAAATTGTACCTAGACAGAGTTCAAACAATCCGAATACTTTTTTTCATTGTAATTTTGCCAATTGAAAAACACTGTGTTTCCATGTTCTGTTTGATAGTTTAGACTAATAAGCTTGCTTCATTCCAAACTGGCATGATTTTCAATTTTGTTTAATTCACCACAATTTTCAAACCCTTATAAATTTACGCAAATTGATTACCATTTTTTCTAGATTTGAAAACAAAGTAGCAAAGTTTTTTTAGTGTATATTAGAAAAAAAAATTACAAATTGTTACCCAGATATTTTTCTGAAAAACGGGGCATGTTTGTTCAAGTAATTTTTTCGAAAATTGGAAAAAGTATTTTTGCAAAAAAATTATTCTTTCTGATCTATTGAACAAAATTTTCAGAAGTTAACGTCATGAGTGGAAAAATTAATGCAAACATCTATGCGACCTCCATTTTAATTTTAGGTGCATTTGTGAAAAAAAATTCATAGCTAGCCAATCTTGAATTATCAGCAGCATAAAATTTCAAAAAAGAACCTGTAGAAGCTAATTAGATGAAAAAAGATGATTTTTTGATTTTTGGATACGCTACAATTTTCTGTTTTCAGAATCTACTTTCACTGAAACGGACTTAATTTTTAGAGCTGATAAATTTTAGGGCATTTTTTCGTTTTTCAATTAAGGTTGAACTTTTTGTTTCAAAATTTGTCGTGGTAGTAGTGCTTTATGACAGCCGCTTTTGGTCTGAGGACACAAAAAAGGTTTTTGTGTCCGCTTACATTTTGGAACATAATTAACGATTTTTCTCTGGATTCCAGTGTCATACAGATACCAAATAGTGCGCCTATCCAGTGCACAATTTGGCCTTCTAATGTTGCGCCACAGCTTGTGCAAGCAAAAACTTTAAAAAAATTGGATCATTCTTGGCCTAAAAACTCTAAAATTGCTATTAAATTCCTTATCTTCCATTTTAAAAATCCAATACTCATGCTGAATTGATGTGCTGCTTAAAAACAGCTAAATTGAATTATTATCTTTCCCACCGGCCAATGAAAAAAATCATTTCTGGAGCATTTTTTCTGCAACAAATTCCACTCCGACTGATAAAATTTATATACACCCCGAATAAGAGCTTTTCTACACAGAGGCGAAGCATCGCAGCTTTTGCAATACATTTTAAACAGTAAACCGTTGAAGCATTATACAATTGTCAGTGCTAATCTTAAAAGATGATTTTGGCTTTTCGGTGCGTTTCCCAAATTATGATCCGAAAAAATGGGAAATTCAAAAACGATTTTACATTCACGATTGTACTTAACGAAAACTAAAAAGGTTGTTCATGAGTTCCACTGAAAATGGCTAAATCTTGTTTTTATCCGCATTTGCTGGATATTACTTCAAGCTCTAGCTCTTATTTGTTCAAGCACAAGCTTAATTCAGTGTAATAAAACAATTTCGGAGTCCATTTACAATTTTCGGAATCCGGAACAACTAGTTATTTTCGCTAGTTGCGGATTTCACAAATTAGCTGCCAAAATTTTCATTACGCGTACTTGTACGCGGAATCCACGGATGTTTTGCAAATGGAATCCACTTAAATTTTGTAACATGATTAAAAATTTGTCTCCGGATTCCAGTGACCTACAGATACCAAATTGTGCGCCTATCCAGTGCACAGTTTGGCTTTGTCTTGTTGCGATTGTACTGTTTGGCTAAATTGATGTGCTGCTCGAAAAGAAACGGCTAAAATTAATTATTATCATTTTGACCGTCAAATGAAAAAAAAAATTTTGCAGCATTTGTCTGCAAAAAATCCACCTCGACTAATGAAATTTATAATTAAGAGCTCACGTTTATTTTTAATTTATACGGTTGATATTTTAGAACTCAAATGAATGTTATATTTTCCCCCAAATTCTGTTTAAATATTTAGATAATTACAGCTTTTCTACGCAGAAGCGAAACGGAGCATCGCACCACTTGCGATACATCTTAAACACAGCATGTTAAAAATGATTAAAATCTCTAATTTGAAAAAAAATGGAGATATCGAAAAAAAAAGATCTCTCAAAAGCTTCAGATCATAAATTGCTTCGACTGAAATTTATTTCGAGGAAAATATGCCGAAAAAGACAAACACGACTGATCGTAAATTAGGGCGAAGCCCCGTTCTAACAAATGACATGCATTGAAAAAATCACTTTCTTTTGTATATTTCTTGGCTACTCATGTCTTTATGACAGTCTCATTATAAGCAAAACGTAAAAAAATTATCTTTTTTTATAACTTTCATTTGATTTTGAGCTCCTACTTAAGTTCTATGTACATATTTTACAAGTAGCGAATAAATAAAGCCGATTCAAATGGTTTTTTTTCTTCTAAGGGAGAAACCATGATAAAGGGCAGTTTTTAGGGTAAAGTTTCTTCAGATATTGTTGCCTCTGCAGAAATAAATACATAGTGAATGTGAAAAGCTCCTATAATTGTTTAGCAGTCCAATTTGATCAAATCGACTTAATTTGCACTATCAAGATACCATATATCTACAACAAGAGAAAAAATTCCTTTATGATATTTACAAGCTTCGATTATGTTAATCATTATTACCATTTTCCAAATTTAGCAGAATCACTAGGTATTTTTCCGCCTTTTTATAACCTGTAAAAACATATACAGTTTTCAACATGACTTAACAGCGCCAGATGTTCGCCAAAGTTACTCAAAAACCTCAAATGAGAGCAAAAAATTTGGACTAAAATTTTGATATCCATAATTTGGGAATGTATAAATGGAAAATGAGCCATGTGAACAAACATAAATTCACTTTACTGAAGTCGGTTCATAAAGACACAATATGACCATCTTTTCTGTTGTTTTCAAGCTTCCTTTCTCTCCTAGGCCTTCTCCTGCTGTTTAGACTCCTTTTTGGTCTTCTGTGACTTTCTGTCAGTTGTCTGTTGTTGTTGATCTCCGTCGTTCTCCGGCTGTGCATTTTCTTCGCCTTTCTCTTCGCTCTTTTTGGTCTTAAACACAGAGCGGTCGACAAAGTTTTTTTACAAACCACGTATGAAAAATGAACACATCAGAAATTTTTGTACGATCATTGATCAAAGTTCATTGAAAAAAACATCAGCAAAATCTTAAACTTGTTTTTTCGTCATTAGTCAACTTTGATCAGGCGTGAGTGATAGAAGAAAGCGTTTATTCAACTGAAACACTTAGGATTGAACAGAAGCGAATCGAGATAGTAAAAAAGTAGTTCACTTGAACCAACCAAACAAGACTGCTCGTATCAGGGCAGAGCCACGGATGTTCCAACTGCCCGATAAACTGTCCAACTTTTTTTGGTTACAAAATCGATTCAAATTTGTGAATCAATAAGCATCACACAGTTCATCAATTTCGAATCATTTTTAAGCGGGACTAAATTACCCGAGAAAAAAAAACCACACCAGACACATATTTCGATTTCGATGACACTAACTCGAAAAATAAGATAAAAAAATACAACCTAGCAAAAATAGCATATTATCAATGATTGAATCTAATAGGTTGAAAATTATAACCTAGATTTTAAATGTTCTTTTTATTGTTTTTTTTACTGCGTGATAGGGGACTGAATTGATTCAAGAGCCATACGAATCAGTTGAAAACAGCAGAAAAGTTAAAACAATCCCAGGAGAAATAAATTGTAAAGTCAATCTGAAACTTCCAGTCTAAAAATGATCTATAAAATTCAAGCCATAATTTTTGACGGGGAAAACTTCAGAATTTTAAGAAATCGAATCACAACAGAAAAGGCCTTAAGATTAAATTTTTGAGGTACTCAAAATCGGCCGCAAAAATGAACCCTAAGCCATCGTTCGTTCCCACCCTTAGAAAGTGTATAAGTCAGCCGAAACTTACATCATTTGAATGAAATTTTGCAAGACTTTCGTAACTGTTACATCATTGTTACATAAGTATTATGCAACATTTACGTTTTCTGTTGGTGTGTCGAAAACCTGGTTTATCCTTCGATGGTTTATATGGATAATGACGGAGAATGACAGATGTGAAGTGCCTGCATGTTTCAAGTTTTTTTTAAAAAAATTTAATTATATGGTTTTCAAAGCGTCTTCGGCGTTTTGAAAACCACACTTGGGCTTGTTCGCTGGTTACTGCCGCATGGGTTCAGTTAGGTGTCTACTGACCGTTCAGCCCCCAACACGTTCTACTGATGATAGAGAGGCTTCAAGGGATGGGACACAGTTAGTAGAAGCAGTAACGTTCATTTGTTTTTTTATTAAAACTAATAAAAGTAATCATAATAATATTAATAATAACAAAAATAAAGATCATAATAATAATAAAAATAGTAATAATAATAATAATAAATTGCCTTGTTTCTTACTTTTGAGGACACTGGTTGGAATCGTGACAGCTGTGCCATGTAGTATTCCTCCTTCCTCCATTTAGGCTCCCAGTTCTCCCTGCTGTACTGACTCGTCGTCTTCCGGTTCATGATGCGGCCAAGGATTTGCTTGTTCTCATTGGTGATGCGCAACAGTTCTCGCTGACGCCTCTCAATTGACAAACTATCACAAACAATATCATATCACTACCTTCAGTAAAACCACATTACACACACCTGGATAACAAACAATTCCAAAATATGATAAGTAAAAACGAACCTTACCAAGCAGGATCAATCGAATAGTTGAGAACACGAAATAATCTTTAAACCCTGTGACAATGCTCTCATTCGGAAAAAGCTATCGGGACAAAACAGTGTAACATGACCTTTACGAAAGCAGTCACACGCAAGCTCCAATTGTTTGCTCCTGACGTTTTCACTAAATTTACCCGGTAAGATTTTGTTGAGTAAGCATCATAACACCCATCATCCATTAACGATGAAAACGAACAGAAAAATCGTTTAAGACAATCCACACTTCAAAAAAGAATTATGACATCATGACATCAAGCATAAACTAATGGACGTCTTTAATGTTGCCGTAGCTTAACTATAATTTAAGCGTGTTTTTCAGTTCTCTGAACTTAATGAAACTATTTTATGACAATGGAAAGATTCATTCGAATTGAAACACGCACAAGGAAGACAAATTTGAATTCTTTTAAAACGAAGACTGGAAATAAAAACACTCAAACCAAAACCAAAACGATGCTTTTTTTTTACTTCAAACACCTGCTAGACGATTTTCTAGCGCGTTCTTTGTCAAGACTGTTGTCCATAGTCCCCGAATTGACAAATGCGTTAAGGTACACACCGGAAGCCTCTAAATTTTTGGCCCTAGTTAGTGAGTTAGAGACAGAAGCAGGTCTTGAAAACCAATCTCCCCTCCGATTCGAGTCAGTTAGTTTTCCTAGTTTGCATCTGCTGGCTGAAGTCAGACTTGGCAGTGCTGAATTGCTATTTCGTGGTTGTGTAGGGCAATTAAAGCTACACAAAAAAAACTAATAACTTTGATTATGCTCATAAAGACAAAAATTGCACTTTCCAATATTCTTTTAATCTGATATTTCAAATTTTTGATCTTTCTTCTCAAAAGATTTTTCCGGTTTTGCAACTGGGTGGCAGTACATGCAGCGACTTGATTTTAAGTCAATTCTAATTAGGTGACTCTGTTTCAGATAAATTGAGCAGTTGAAAACTAGTTTGGACAGTGAGAGGATGGAGTGGGAGATAAAGCACCACAATTTGTAGAAAAAAAAATTAAACACAAGGCTTGAAATACAGACGATCAATCTAAGCCAATTAAATAAAGATATTCAAGAACTTAGGTATAACAAGGCTAACTTAATACCTTTTTACATCTCGGTTGAGATTGTTATTATCAATGCTTCCAGTGGTACGCATAATTTTGGCAATTCTCTCCAGAAGAAGACGATTGTCTCTCTCAATTGTCGCCAGTCTTTCTTCTTCGAGCTAGAACACAAATTTAAAATCAATTTAACTTAAAGGGTTGCGCAAGTTCGCATTACAAGTAATTTTGCGGTTAAACTGCCAAATTTGAACGTCAAAATGTTAATTTTGAGAGAAATTGTACCATTGATGTTTTTTAAATAAAACATGATTCTGGTAAAAACGGTTGACTCGCCAATCACGCTTCTCGGACTTATGAATAGCTAGTCAGTAATTTAAATAGCGAATGCAATTACTTTACTTGTTATCTTATTGAGAATAATTTTCAATTAGCCGTAAGGATAGCCGGTTACCGTGCAAGTAGCACAGAATGTTCCGATCATAGCCTTTCGAAAACTAAGGTTTAGAATGTTGTTTTTCCAAATTAATTTAAAATATAACCTCTCTTTAAATTGCTCGGACAAAACAAAAACATGTGAAAACACAGTGAACTAGCATGTACATATTTATTTATGCATAGGTTGTAACTCTATGGAGAGCTAATATCATTACTAACAAGAACAAAGAATGAGTTTGTATGAACGCTCTTACGAATGAAAACACAACAATTGTTATAATATCAACTAATACTTGACAAGCTGGAGGGTCTATAATTGTTTTGCCAGTAAGCTGGAGGGTCTTTAAAGGGAAAGACCCAAAACATCAGCCGCATAAGCCCCAAAAAAGCAGCCACAAAACTCTTAAATGAAAAATCAGTCGCATAAGTCTCGGATAAAAAAAACCTCGCATAAAAGCCAAAAGTGTTTTTATGAGCTTTTATTGATGGCCGTACCGCGAACAACAGTGAACAATTGATTTCATGAAGTTGTTTTTTTGCGACAAAATCTTTTTGAATGGTAATTAATCCAATTTAAAGGACGAGAACAAAAGTTACAAGAATAACAAATACTGGTAGGGGAAACAGTAGAAGAGCTCAAAAAATTGCATTCGGATAGTTTTATATTTTTTGGTTGAAAATAAGTGAAGAAATTGGTGGCCCAAATCGATCAAGGAAAATTTGCATTCAAAAATTTTGGCACTCATGGTACTGTGGGAATTTATCAAAACTAGACCCATTGACAAAAACAAAGGCCCACATTAAGCAATAAAACAAAAATTTCGATTTAATAAGCAACACATGATTGAGAAATATACTCACTTGAAGTTTTTTCAGTTTGAGATGTTGATGTATGTAAACCCTCGGCTGCTTGGTATCAAGAACTGTTGATGCTTGATTCACCTGAAGAAAAAAGAGAGGATTCTTTCACAAAACCTAACAGATTTTCATTGCTTACTCTCACGGAAAAAAAACTACATTTATGATTGCGAAACAAAATGACCTTCAGTTAAAATTATTCAATTGTTAGAATAAAATTACCGCTTGACGATGCCTCGAGAAAGTTGTCTTGTCAAGGGATTCCTGTATTTTCTTGTTCTGGCAAGGGAATAATGGCTCGAATGCTTTGAAAGCAGCATCACCTTGCTCCTCGACTTCGGTCATTTTGTTTTGTCTTATAAATAAGTATTCAAAGTATGTGAAACGAATAGTATGAAACAGTTTTTTTTACACCAGCATGATGTCAAATAGACGAAGGCAATAATCGAAATGTTGTATTTGAAAATTTTCACATCAGAGAAAAGTTTTTGCAGCTGTTAACGTTTTAGCGTTCTGATTTCTGCAATTATAAAAGAGAAAATAAAATATTAAAGGTCCCCCCCACCAGTGCAACAGTTGACGAAATCTTAGCAAGCCATTAATCATGAAGTGCTGATTAAATCAGGGCAAAATTCAGAAATGCGCTAACAGCAAACATATCGACGGAAGAAACAAAACAAATCCAAATAATCAAAATGATCCCCCCATTCACGAAAGTAATTGTCAAATCAGCCGAAAATCTGGCACAGGCATATCGAAGCTGTGCTTTCGATATACTCAAACAATACCCTAAACAAAAGATGACAATCTCACAAACAATAACTCTGACAAAAAATTGACCGCAAACTGCATACACTGACAATTATTGCCCACCCCGCAGCAGAGCAACTCATAAGCATCAACAAAAACGAAGGAATAATTCAATGTAAAAGAACGGTTTTTCCCATGGGATGCTTTCCAAGGTTTCATGGACATAAGAACATTTACCCTAAATTAGCCAAAATCAAAATGTCTAATATGCTTTTTGTATGCAACGATATCGCGGAAAAATCAATTTTCCAATTACCAGAAGTCATCAATCATAGCCCTTTAATCCAGCGTGAGATCTGTGTCGTAACTGAACCGGGTCAGTAGGCAGAGCAACTTTAGAAGTTAATATACAAATTGAAGAACAAGAGAAAAAGCTGACGGACTGGTCTTAGAAATCGAGAATGGATGGCTTTATACTGTGGGAAGATCTAGAAATCCCGTTTCACATACCTTCACTACATGAATGCCAAGAGTGCGAGATCTCTGGGCGCCAAAAAAAGGTAATCACGGTGACTGGTGCAGCATAGGAAGCCAATAATCAGTCTTCAAAAAAACAAGCGCCAATAATGCCAGCGACAAGAAAAACGATCACGAAACAACAACTGACAAGGCTTGTCATGCTTGCAAAAATGTCGAAGCAATGAAGATCATCAGAACATTACCCACGACAATTTTTGCAAATGAAGTTAAAACAAACATTGCACAAACTCCAAGCGAAGAAAAAAAGGTGAGGTTCTCAACAATCAGGACACCCGGGTGGAGGTCGTGGTTTTATTTTCAGACTTAATAAGTCTGAATTGATCCGCGTGGGGACCGAAAATTCATATTCACCACGCAGGCCAAGGTCTGCAAAGTCCAAACGTAAATCTGCAAAGTCTGAACGTAAAGTCTGCAAAGTATAAACAAAAAGTCTGCAAAGTTTGAATCGTTCCGCGAGGGGACCGAAAATTCATAATATCCAAGAAGGCTAAAGTCTGCAAAGTCTGAACATAAGTCTGCAAAGTCTGAACATGAGCCTGCAGACTCTTAACATAAGTCTGCAACGTCTGAACATGAGTCTACAAAGTCTGCAAAGTCTGAACATAGGTCTGCAAAGTCTGAACATAAGAGTAGAAAATCTGATAAAAACCGCAAAAAAAAGGACCAACCCAAACCAGCTACTCTCAAGAGAAATAACAACACGGGTTGACAAAAGTTGCTAGTCATACAATTCCCATACAGTTTCCGATTCAGCATTCAGTTCATACTTTTACAAATGTTCATACTAGGGACTATATAACTACTTTTTTCCCATAGCGAAACTGTATGACCATAAATGGTTTGCGTATGACTACCATTTTTTCATGATGAGAAACTATTTGATCAGTTCTTTGCAAATCTGGTCGTGTCAAGAATCTTTTAGCCTAATTGTTGTGATAAACTTATTAAATAGATTTGTTATGTTTGATGTTTGTGCCTGTTTGTGGAGCGCCCTCTGAGAGATTTTAGAGACAGGTCTTTCAAGTGGCTTTCTGTGGGGAGGTGGGAAACTGGAACTGGCTGGAAGAGCCTGGTTGTGCACCGCTGGACTTACTGAGCTCGTGTGAGATTGTTTTTTTTTTTTGATTTTTGTATTTCGATTTTAAAATTTAAATTAATTTAATCGTCTTTTATTTTTTCTTATTTGCTGATTTATAAAAATCCCATTAACCGCTTGTCATGGGTTAGTTCAGTCCCCTAAAGTCCAGTCAAAACTCTTTTTTAACCTTTTTACTTTTATGCTGCGTCAAGATGAGGAAAAACAACAAAGATTGTACAAGCAAAGATTGCTTAAAACCTTCAGGACTGATAAGTTGGATTAGATGTGATTGTTGTTCTAGTTGTTATCATATCAGTTGTGTAAGTATTTCTCTTAGCGACCCTAAGAAAACCCAAAGGTTTCAGTTTCCTTTATGCGTTCATGTAAAATCTGTTAATAAAGCAACAATAGGTAATGATTTAGTGCTAGACTATTATGATAACACAGCCATCTCAAATGTCCTAGTACTCAAGAGAGTACCAAAAAAATCGCGTGTTCCCTTGATGAAAAGTCTGTCAGACAAAATAAATGACATCTTCTACAAGGTAGAAGATTTTACAAAATGGCTATTTTTTTAACGTCGTTCTTTTTTTGGAGCAACCGAAAAGAAGTGGACACAAACAGTCCACAAGCATGAGCTCTTTGATAAAAAAATTGAGCAAATGACGTGTCACTTCCAAAATCCCATCCCCAAGTTTCAAGCCCGCCTCTGAGTGACCTCGAGCAGAGAATAAAGCAATAAGTAGTAAGCTCGATGAAGGAAATATAAATGGAGGGATAAGGTTTGCTGCTTCGGATGACGAAATTGCTCCTTATTCAACTGATAACTATCAAAAATTGTAGTCTAAGCACCCTCAGCGAGCCAAATTGCAGCTCCAAATCCAGAAAATTTATGTAGTTTTTTGTAACCGAATTCGACCTATATAAAGAGATAATGCCCTTTCCGAACGGATCAGCTGCAGGTCCTGATAAAATAGTTCCTCAAATTTTTAATGATCTTGTTAGTAAGTTGAATGGCAGTGCAGGACTTAATTTTCTGAAATCGCTTACCAAGCTGATAAACCTTATTGGAGATGGCTAAATACCCAAACCCCTAAGACCTTTCTTTTTTGGCGCAAAGCTTATCGCCCTCATAAAGATAGGCGGAGGATTGAGACCGATTGCCATTGGAAACACGCTGAGATGTGTTGCGTCTAAATGCGCTGGAAGCAAGGCCCTCTCCGAGTGACAAAATTTTTTCGGAAACATACAGGTAGGATGCGGTACCAAATGAGGAAGTAGCTGCAAACTCGTTTCGACACCTAATTGAACGCGACGACAATCCAAAATGCACTGCTCTTTTAAAACTAGATTTTAAGAATGCCTTTAACTCTCTAAATAGAGAAACACTGCTGAATCATGTCTATTCAAATCGCCCGCCGGATTGTATAATTACACCCATTGCGCGTATAGTAAACTTAGTTACCTTTTTTACGGAAGCTCTGTCATAATGACAAAAAACGGAACTCAGCAAGGTGATCCTGAAGCCCCACCCCTTTTTGCGGAAACAATTCAAACACTAGTCAAACAGTTGGAGTCGAAAATTAACATCTGGTATTTAGATGATGGAAATTTAGCCGACTACTATAATGTTGTACTCCGGGACCTTGAAAGTATTCCGAAATTGGAACAAATTTACGGCCTGAGCTTGAACACTGAGAAGTGCAAACTTTGTTTTTAGGGACCGATTAAGAGTACACAGTATAATTCAGTTTTAACACAATTTCGAAAGATATGCCCCAAAATAGTAATAAAAAAAGAACTCTTCATTTTAGGATCTCCAAGCGGCGAGCTTTGCCGAAAAGAATTGAATGACGAAAAAAATCAGGAGCTTTAAGAAATCTCGGTTGTCATTGAAAAACTAGACGCCCATTATGGTTCTTACCTCCTAAAAAATTTCTTTCGAATGTCAAAACTCCTATATTTTTTGCATACGAGCCCTTGTTTTTTGCAAAATGATTTTTTGGAACACTACGACAAATTACTGAGAAATTCGTTATGCAAGGTCGCTAATGTGAAAATGGAAGATAACCAAGTTTTACAAGCAGTTCTCCCGGCAGCCAAAGGTGGGTTGGGCGTTTCTTCCGCTCGTCTACTCGCTTTATCCGCTTTCTTAGTCTCACAAGAAGGAGCAAAAAATGCCTTGAGCGAAATCTTTGGTTTGGAGCATGTGGATGGAACCTATGATGATGCGCTTAAACGGTGGTTTAAACTTGGAAAAATTGAAATGGCTCCGGAAAATCAAATCCTAAAAAATTGGACAGAGCCAATTTTTGACAGCGAAACTGCAGACTTGATTTTACGACTCGAACCAACGGACGTGAAAAGAATCAATGCGTTCCAAGATAGATTTGGCTTCCAATGGTTGAAAGTCATCCCGTGCAATAACTTAAGGTTAAAACTGTCGAACCAACAACTCAGAATTGCGATAGGACTTCGATTAGGCTCAAAAATATGCAAACGGCATAAATGCGTGTGCGGAAAAGACGTTACCGAAAATGGTTGGCATAGTCTTTCTTGCCTCAAAAGTGCAGGGAGATTCTCTAGGCATTCAAACCTGAATGCCCGTACAAAACAGAGTTTTTCTTCTACTCACATTCCGTCTGTTTTAGAACCACGACACCTCTACAGGACCAATCAGAATCGACCAGACGGTTTGACGCTCGTTCTATGGGCTGTTGGTAAGCAGCTCTTGTGGGATGTAACGGTAGTAGACTCCTTAGCTCCTTGTAGGATTAATGCCGGGTCTGTTTGTAACCCTGGTACGGCTGCCGCTGAAGCGGAAGAGCAAAAAAATGACAAGTATAAAGATCTAGTAGTTGATGGGCATCTTTTTCAACCGCTAGCTTTTGAGATTCAGGGCGCGGCCGGCCCCTGCCCAGAAATTTTTTTTGAGCAAACTTTGTAAAAACCTAAGCATATGCACTGAGTAACCCAGAGGAGGCAGCTTTTTAAAACAGAGAGTCTCGCTGGAAATAAAGATTGCGAACGCCGCTTGCGTACAATAAATGACAAAACAACTTTCGACGAAATTTTTTATTTGTAACACTTGTATATTATACTTTCTCGCGTCGAGTTGCGTGTTCTTATTGAAGAAACATAACCCGTATCGATTTTAATCGAAAGGACATCAACAATTGTAATCTTGTGTTATCATTATCACTTCCATATCTAGAAAATTCCAAGGACTTTGACTGGAATACATGATGATGGGACTCCTGACTGTAACCTCGGTTACTATGATGATTTTGATCTTCTGATTACCCTCTTAGGGAGTTAAAAACAAAAAAAAGAATCTTGGAGATCGCAATCCCAAAACTTGTAAGACGAAAGTTAAAGATTGCAAGGAATTTATAATTTTTCTTTATTACTCTTAAAAAAACGGAGGTTGCATGCGCTGTAGACAATTTCTGAAAGATGTAAATTTGATCATTAAAATGATCATTGTCAAAAAAAGTTGTAAATTTTTCAGATGGTGTTTAGTTTCTGAATATTTCAGGTAAAAAAAATGAGGCTTTAATGAAGCAATTAAATCTAAAGGCTTGCGCACTGAAATGAAGCACTGAAATAAAGTAGATTTTTATTTTTACTCTGCCATGGAAAAAAAACAAATTACGTATCAAAATTAACAAACGTGAATCGTCTTCTGACGGAAGAATGCTTACAAAAAGAGAGCGGGAAGTTTCATCAACCTCTTGGTCAATCTTAACACGGAAGAAAGGGCCCAAAATGAAATCTAAAAAATGGAGGGAACTTGATTGGAGGGAACTCTACCATCTAGCAATTTTACCATCGCAAGTCGACGACAGAATAAGAAACAACTTGCAAACCAGACCAGGATACTCAGTATTCGGTCGAACAAAAATTTGTACAGTCACAGTTCACAGATTATCTCGACGAGCTCTCAACCATTTTCTCGTTTCATCAATTAGGATAGTAAATCGATAAGTTGTTTTCATGATATATTTGACGTACATGTTGATTATGAAACTGTAAACTCAGTAATCTTAGTTTACAATTCCAATAAAGAAAAAGCTGATAGATTAGTTTTTTTGATTACTGCACTTAAAAAGAAAAACTGTTTTTTCTGTTTCACGTATATTCTGTTCAAGATTTTTTTGCTCAGAAGTCAAAGTAAAAGCATGATTAAACATTGAGTTACAGAATCGCAGCTACCAATAAACCAGCATGTAATGCTGATAGAAACAACTGATGAAGTGTTGATGCAAGTTCTCATTCAGCCGAAAACTTGGAGCACGCTTATCGAAATTGTGTTTGCGATATACAGAAACAATTCACCACAACTATTTATAAGGAGATCACAATACCAAAAACAATAACAGTGACAAAAGGTGATTGCAAACTGCAGATTCTTATTGTGCCCCGAATATGAGGGAGTTATAATCAACATCAAAAGCGGAGGCCTCATTTTACTAAGGAGACGTTGTTTCACATGGGAAGCTTTAAACGATCTCAAAAAGCAAATAATCCTTATTCGAAGTTAGATAAAATCAAATTATCTAATTTGCCTTTGGTATGACACAATATGAAGGAGAAATCATTTCTAGAAAATCCGAATCCGAATTTAATTGAAAAATAATTTTCAGTGCTAGATCGTATTCTAAAAGTTTCAAAAGAAAAAGACTTTTGCCAAAAATATCGAATCTTACAAAAACACCACTGAATATAATGAATGAATACAAAGCTTCATATGATTTTTACCAAACACGAATTGCACATCAAATTTAAGTCCTGAAAAATCTGAGTAATATATCTAATGGTGCACCCAAGCTTTGTTAATTGTAAACACATCAACGCTAATCATCTCATTTTTA